AATGGGGAAAAATTGGGGAAAAAATTGGGGGGAAAAAAATGAAGATTTTAGGTAGAAAAATGAGGATTTTGGGGGGATAAAAAAAAGGGAATTTAGGGGAAAAAATGGGATTTTGGGAAAAGGGGACAAAATTGGGGTGGGGAGAAAAAAATGAGGATTTTTTTGGGGGAAAAATGGGAATTTTGTTGGGGAAAAAAAGGGATTTTGGGGTGGAAAAAATGGAAAAAAAATTAAATTTCGGGTTGGAAAAAATAGAAAAAAATTAAAAAAAAACCTGGAGGGGTTGGGGGTGAATAATTTAAATTTTTTTGGGAAAAAAAACCGAAAAATTCGGACAAAATTTCGATTAAAAATGGGGTTTTTAAAGGGGGAAAGGGGGCGTGGCTCCATATGCAAATGAGGGGGGCGTGGCTGACTCGCTTCCGTCCAATCACAGCTGGGGGCGGAGACCGGCGTGGCCGCCCCGGGGGCGGGGCCTGTGCGACAAATCCTGAGGCTCCTCCCCCTCCTCTTCCTCCCCTTCATCCTCCATTTCCCCACCGTGAGTGGGGGCGGGGCTTGAGGGGGAAAGGGGCGGGGCTTAGGAAAGGGGCGGGGCTTAAAGGGGAAAAAATTTGAATTTAAAGGGGAAAAAAACGGGAATTTTGAGGGGAAAAAAATTGAGATTTTTGGGGGGTAAAAAATCAAATTTTGGAGGGAAAAAAATGGGATTTTAGGGGGGAAAAATTGGAATTTTTTTGGGGGGGAAATTTGAAGTTTTGTGGTAAAAAATTAAAATTTAAAGTGGGAGGGGTTGGAGTTTTAAAAAAGGGAATTTTTTTTCGGGAAAAAAAATGAAATTTAAGGGGGAAAAAGAACTTTTAGAATTTATTGTTTTTTCTAAATTTTAAGGATTTTTTTTTCCACGAAATTGTGGATTTTTTTTTTTGTTTTGTTTTCTCAATATTTTGTTTTTCTTTTGTGTTTTTTTTTTTTCCGGATTTTTTGCCAATTTTTGGGAGTTTTTTTTCTTTGCATTTTTTCCTAATTTTGTTTTTTTATTCCTTCAATTTTTTTTTCCAAATTATTGGGTTTTTCCCACAAAATTTTAGGGTTTTTTTTTTCTACAAATTTTAGGATTTTTTTTTTCTCAGATTATTGGGATTTTTTCCTTAATTTTGAGGTGATTTTTCCGATTTTTTTCACCTGAATTTTGCGGATTTTTTCACCCCAAATTTTACATTTTTCCCTAAATTTTTTTTTTTTTTTTTTTGCAAAATTTGGGGTTTTTCCTTTAATTTTTTTTTCTAAACTTTATAATTTTTTTTTTCTTTTCTTTTTTTTTCTTTTTTTTTTTTTCGCCAAAATCTTTTTCCTGATTTTTTTTTTTTTTTTAATTCCCAAAATATTTGGGTTTTTTTCCCCAAAATTTTTCCGCTTTTAACGAGGTCGCGACTCCTCAAAATGGCGGCGCGGCCTCCTCAAACCCGGAAATTACGTCATCCCCACCCCCAAACCCGGAAGTTTTGCCACTTCCGCCTTCTTCTGTACCGCCCCCCCACCCCACGTGGCGCAACACGTGACCGCTCCCCGCCCACAAACCCGGAAGTCCCGCCACTTCCGGGTCCGCCGCGAAGCCGCGCCCCACGTGGTTCCATCCTCGCTTCTGATTGGCTCTTTCCCCGCCAGGCGGTCTTCACCTATTGGCTGACGTCCAACAGCTTCAGCCTATTACAGACGGGCTTGCTGCGAGTCCCCGCCCTCCGCGCCAAATTAGGCGTGGCCCCGCCCCCCGGGCCGGCCCAGGCCACGCCCCCCGGCCCCGCCCCCGCCAAGAAGGAAGGGATCCTAAAACAGCTGAAAAAAGGTGAAAAAAATCGGGAATTTTTGGGAAAATTTGGGGGAATTTCGGGGATTTCGGGGTGGGCGGGAAATTTTGGGGATTTTGGGGGAAATTCAGGGGATTTTTGGGGGGAAAATTTTGCGATTTTGGGGTTTTTTAGGGCGGGAAATTGGGGGGATATTCTGGAATTTTGGGTGGGATTTTGGGGAAAATTGGTGGATTTTTGAGATTTTGGGATTTTTTTTCCGGGTGGGGTTTTGGGGGAAAATTTTGAGATTTTTTTTTAAATTTTTTTGGGGTTTTTTAAGTGGGAGTTTTGGGGGAAATTCTGGGATTTTGGCAATTTTTTTTTTTTATCGGGGAGGAATTTAGGGAAAATTTAAGGATTTATGGAATTTTGGGTTTTGGGGGATTTTTGGGGGAATTTCTGAAATTTTGGGGAATTTGGGAAAAAAAAAATCTGATTATTTTTTTTTTTTTCTTCTGGGATTTTGGGGGAAATTTTTGGGGATTTAAGAGGAAAATTTTGGGTGGAAATCCTGAAATTTTTGGTTTTTTTGGGGGGATTTTTGGGAGAAGGATTTGAGGGAAATTTTTGGGATTTTGGGGTTTTTTGGGGGAGGGAATTTTGGGGAAAAATCCAGGATTTTTTGATGGATTTTTGGGAGATTTTGGGAATTTTTCAGGAGGTTTTTTAGGGAGAAAATCCTGGGAATTTGGGGATTGTTGGGGAAAAAAATGAGAATTTTGGGGTTTTTTTTGGTGGGAGTTTTTTGGATTTTGGTTGGACATTTTGGGGCAAAATTCCGTGATTTTGGGGAATTTGGGGGTTTGGAGTTTTTGGGAGGGGTTAAGGAGAAAATTCTGGGATTTTGGGGTTTTTTTGGGGAGAAATTTGGGGGGAAATCCTGGAATTTTGGGGGGTTCTTTTGTGGGATTTTTTGGGAAATTTTGGGGAGGGAATTTGGGGAAAAATCCAGGATTTTTGGGAAGAAAATTTTGGGATTTTGGGTCTTTTTTGAGGCATCTGAGGGAGGTTTTTTTTTTGGTAGGAAATTTGGGGAGAAATTCTGAGATTCTGTGGGTTTTTTTAAAGAGATTTTTGGGAGGAATTTTGGTTTTTTTTTTCGTTTGGAAAATTCCGGATTTTGGGAATTTTTTTAGGGGAAATTTCAGGGAAAGTCGTGGCATTGTGGAGTTTTTGTGGGATTTTGGGGAATTTTGGTGATTTTGGGTGGATTTGGGGTACCCCAGACCCATTTTTGGGGGTCCCAGACCCATTTTTGGGGGTCCCAGGCGGATTTTGGGGTTTCCTCTTTTAATTTTGGACGTTTTCAGGACAATTTTGGGGTGATTTTAGGGTTATTTTGGGTGGGTTTTTCTTAATTTTGGGTGGATTTCTGATTATTTTGAGGACCCCAGACCCGTTTTTTGGGGTCCCAGAGCCGTTTTTGAGGGTCCCAGACTGATTTGGGGGGGTCCCAGACTGATTTTTGGGGCTCCCCCCTCCCCAAATCCCCAGAGTGGCGCGAGGCCCAGGCCACGCACGAGGCCCAGCAGCGCCAGTGGCGCCTCAAGAACCACCTGAACCTGGCGGCCAAAGGTGACCAAAAACCCCTCAAAAAACCCCAAAATTTAATGGGGGTGACCCCTCTACAAAACCAGATTTTTCCGGTTTTTTCTGGTGTTTTTTTTTTCCTTTTTTTTTTTTTTCCAGGCCCGCTCCGCCAAACTTTCTCCCAAAACCCCCTCAGCCCTCCCGGGACCACTCCGGCCGCGCCCTCAGAGACGCCAAAACGCCCTTGGAAAAACACGTTGGGATGAAAAGCGGGAGGGGAGGGACCCCAAAAATAAAAAGATCCCAAAAAATAAACCCTGAGCGTTTTATTTTGAGGGAGGCGGCGGCGAAATTTGAAGGGTTTGGCCGCTCGCGGTTGCCGTAGCAAGATGGCGGCGCCGTGATGAGGGCGCACAAAATGGCGGCGTGCTATTGGTTAGTCCGTACAACATGGCGTTGGTCAGTCCGTACAACATGGCGGCGTTCTATTGGTCAGTCCGTACAACATGGCGCCCGCGCATGCGTGAAGATGCAGGTGCTGGGTTTTGCCGTACAAAATGGCGGCGCGCAGAGGTCGCTGAGTCCGGGAGAAAAATATCGCTGTAAAATCGGTCCAAAAGCGCCAAAATTGCTCTTGTGAGGGGAAAAGAATTCCGTACAACGGGGTTGCGCCTGTGGGAGAAGCTGTGCCATGAATCCCGTGAGGGTGGAACAGAAAATTCACCCGAAAAGAGTCACGAACGACACAAAAAACCGCGGAGATTTTAAAAATCTCTCTTTAAATTTAAATCGTTTCGGCGTTAAAACGGCGGCCGCCGCCTGTTTCGTTCCGTACAACATGGGGCCGCGCCTGAAGGTCGTTCCGCGCTCAGCTGTGACCGGAAATGCCGGCCGTGCGTTTTGACGTCACTTCCGTGCGTGACCAATATGGCGGCGCGCAAGATCCTCCGGCTCGGTGCGTGCCGCGGAGGCTCCCGGAGGGTGGGGGAGGGTCTGGGAGGGCTGATTTAAGCGGGCAGGGGGTTTTAGGTGTGGTTCAATCGCGATTTAAGGGGGCGAGCGGGGTTTAATCGCGATTTTGGGACGTTGAGCGGGGTTGAAATGGAAGCGGGCGCGGATTGTGGGAGAAGCCGGAAGTGTTGATCGCTGTTTCCGCCCCCTAGCGGAGCGCCAGGCGCGATGCGCCCGCCCGTTGCCACGCCCACCCGAGCGGATCAGCCAATGGCGTGAGGCGTGAGTGAAAAGGGGCGGGGACGTCCGGGAGGGGCGAAACTTCCGGGAGTGGCAGAGACTTCCGGGATAGGCGAGGACTTCCGGGTGTGGCAGAAACTTCCGGGAGGGACAAAGACTTCTGGGAGGGGCGGAGACTTCCGGGATGGGCGGGAACTTCCGGGAGGGGATTTGGCGGGAAATTTTATTTTAATTTTCTTTTTTTTCTTCGGAATTTGGGTGGATTTTGAGAATTTTTGGGCAATTTCGGGGGCGAATTTTGGAGAATTTTGGGTTTTCCCCCAAATTTTGGGAATTCTGGGCGGATTTTGGGGGGAATTTGGGAATTTTGGGGCATTTTGGGTGAATTTTTGCATTTTTTCCTCGTAATTTTAATTTATTTTAACTTAAATTATGGAATTTTTAAACCCAAATTTGTGGGATTTTCCCTTAAATTTTTCTTATTTTTTCCCCCTGAATTTTGAATTTTTTTTCCCCCTTAAATTACGGGTTTTTTTCCCTAAAATTTTCGAATTTATTCCCCAAAATTTTTTATTTCTTTCACGAAAATTTTTAATTTTTTTCCCCCCAAATTTTTAAATTTTTTTCCTAAATTTGGCTATTTTTTCTCCAAAATTTTGGGGTTTTTTTCCTGAAAATTTTTATTCCTTTTTCTCCTAAATTTTGGAATTTTTTTCCTTAAAATTTCTGGGTTTTTTCCACAAAATTTTCAAATTTTTCCCCCAAAATTTTGAAATTTTTCCCCTTAATTTTTTATTTTTTTTCCCCAAAATTTTCAATTTTTTCCCCAAAATTTTCAATTTTTTTCCCCAAAATCTGAAAATTTTAAACTTTTTTTTTTTTTTTCCCAGCCAGGGCCTTTCCTTGAGTCCCTTCCAGGACCTCCCTGATTGGAGCTTTGCAGGTAAAAAAAAAAAAAAAATAAAAATTTGGGAATTTTTGGGAATTTTGGGGAATTTTTTGGGGGGAAAAAAAGGGAATTTTGAGGGGAAAAAATGGAATTTTTTGGGTAAAAAAATGGGAATTTTTTGGGGGAAAAAAATGAAATTTTTGTTAAAAAAATGGGAATTTTTGGGATAAAAAATAATGGGAGTTTTGGGGAGAAAAATGGAATTTTTGGGATAAAAATGGGAATTTTAAGGGGGAAAAAAAGGAATTTTAAGGGGAAAAAATTGAGGATTTTGGGGGGGAAAAAATAAGAATTTTTGGGGATAAAAATGGGAATTTTAAGGGGGGAAAAATGGGAATTTTGGGGGGAAAAAATGAGAATTTTGGGGATAAAAATGGGAATTTTGGGGGAAAAAATAATGGGAATTTTGGGGAAAGAAAGGGAATTTTTAGGAAAGAAAAAGGGAATTTTTGGGGATAAAAATGGGAATTTTGGGGATAAAAATGGGAATTTTAAGGGGGAAGAAATGGGAATTTTTGGGGAAAAAATTGGGAATTTTGGGAAAAAAAATTGGGGATTTTTTGGGGAAAAAAGACGAATTTCATGGAAAAAACCCGGGAATTTTGGGGAATAAAAATGGGAATATTGGGAAAAAATGTGAATTTTAAGAGGGAAGAAATGAGAATTTTTGGGGAAAAAAAAAGGGAATTTTTTGGGGGAAAAATAGGGGAAAAAAATTGGGAATTTTTTCAGAAAAAAATGGGAATTTTGGGGATAAAATTGGGAATTTTTAGGGGGGAAAAAAGGGAATTTTGGGGAAAAAATTGGGAATTTCTGGGAATAAAAAATGGCAATTTTGGGGGAAAAAGGAATTTTTGGGAAAAAAAAGAGAAATTTTGGAGAAAAAAATGGGAATTTTGGAGATAAAAATGGGAATTTTTTGGGGAAAAAATTTGGGAATTTCGGGATCCCGACCCTGCCCCTCCCCCCCCCCAGACGGGCGCCCCTCCCCCCCCTGGCGGGGGCAGCTCCGGAGACGCCGCGAGAACCAAGAGCTGGTGGTGAGTGCCCAGTATGGACCAGTATAAACCAGTATGGACCAGTATGGACCAGTATGGACCAGTATAGACCAGTATGGAATAGGAAACAAAAAATTTTCCCCAAAATCCTCCCAAAATTCCCCCCAAAATGGCCCCAAAATCCCCTCCCAGTTCATCCCAGTTCATCCCAGTTCATCCCAGTAACCCCAGACCACAAACCAGTAAGAACCAGTAAGGAAAAAAACCCCAAACCAGTATAAACCAGTAACCCCAAATCGCCCTCCCAGTTCATCCCAGTACAAACCAGTAACCCCAAATCCCCTTCCCACTTCATCCCAGTCCCCTCCCAGTAACCCCAGACCCCAAACCAGTACAAACCAGTTCAAACCAGTAACTCCCAGTATAAACCAGCGCCGGGCCCTGGCCCTGAGCCGCTCCCTGGAGGCCGCGAAGCTTCGGGGGAACCTGGAGAGGATCCCAGTCCAAACCAGTATGGAGAGGTGAGGGCACTGGGAGGGACTGGGAGGGGGTTTGGGGTCACTGGTTTGTACTGGGAGAGGATTTGGGGTCACTGGTTTGTACTGGGAGGGGGTTTGGGGTTACTGGTTTGTACTGGGAGGGCACTGGGATGGACTGGGAGGGGGTTTGGGGTGACTGGTTTATACTGGGAGGGGGTTTGGGGTCACTGGTTTGTACTGGGAGGGATATTTGGGGTTACTGGTTTATACTGGGATGAACTGGGAGGGATTTTCCCCCACAGGTGAATCGGCCACGCCCCCGCCGGAAGCTCCGCCCACTCCTGGCCACGCCCCCTTCCCTTATATGGAGAATTAATAAAGGGACTGGCATGGACTGGTTTACACTGGTTTATACTGGGAGGGGATTGGGATGGGAACGGGAGGGGTTTGGGGTTACTGGTTTGAACTGGGAGGGGGTTTGGGCTTACTGGGATGAACTGGGAGGGGTTTGGGGTTACTGGTTTGTACTGGGAGAGGATTGGGATCGGAATGGGAGGGGGTTTGGGGTTACTGGGATGAACTGGGAGGGATATTTGGGGTTACTGGTTTGTACTGGGAAGGGGTTTGGGGTTACTGGTTTATACTGGGATGGGGGGTTTGGGGTTACTGGTTTATACTGGGAGGGGTTTTGTCCTTACTGGTTTGTACCAGATTTAAAAAACTGCGGCATCTCCGAGCGGAGAACGCTGGCGAGCGCCATCTTGGATTTGGGCGCCTGAGGGAGGCGGTACCCACAAGATGGCGGCGGTGACGCCGGCGCGGGCGCCATCTTTGTTAAGGGCAAGGCAGACTCAAAGCGCAAAATGGCGGCTGCGCATGCGCAAAGCAAAGGAAGGAATGGGCAAAGGCGCCGGCGCCATTTTGGTTAAGGGCAGGGCGGGAAAATGGCGGCGGCGCATGCGCAGAGTGAGGACAAAAAGGGCGCGAAGGCGCCGCCGCCATTTTGATTGAGGGCACGACTCGGCCGTGTGGAATTAAATCGGAATTAAAGCCTTAAAATGAGGGGAAAAACGGAGATTTTGGCTAAATTTAATAACGGGAATTAAAATAATTTAATTTAGGAATCGGATGAAAAGATTTGGGGAAGAAAACCTCGCGGTTTTGGGGTGAAATTTGGGGAATTTTGGGTGGAATTTGAGGATTTTTATGTGGAATTTTGTGTGGAATTTGAATAAATTTTGAGACATTTAGGGTGGAGTTTTGTGGGAAACTTTGAGGAATTTTGTGTGGATTTTGATGGAGATTTGGGGAATTTTGAGTGGAATTTGGGGGAATTTTGGGGTGAATTCTGAAGATTTCGGGAGAAATTTTGGGGGATTTTTGGGCGGGATTTTAGGGTGAAATTTGGGGATTTTTTGGGTATAATTTGCAAAAATTTTGAAACTTTGGGGAGGTTTTAAAGAATTTTTTGGGTGTTTTTTGTCTGGAAATTGGGGATTTTGGGGGAAATTTTTGGTGAAACTTCTCCAGGAAATTTTGTTGAAATTTTTTTTTTTTAATTTTGCTGAGATTTTTTTAAAATTTTTTCCGGAATTTTTGGGAAAAAATCGCTGGAATTTTTGAAATTTTTTTTTTAATTTTCAGACATTTGTGAAAATCCAAAAAAAACCCCAAAATTTGGGGGAATTTTGGGTCAATTCCCGCGAAATCCCAAGCCCCTCCCCCCACAGAAGAGGCCACGCCCATTTTTTACCATCTCGGTTTTTATTGGCCGCCGATGACGTCACCCAACAGCCGCCCCAAAATGGCGGCGTGGGAGGGGTCCAACGAGGCCACGCCCACCCGGAAGCGCTCGGGGTCGGCCCCGCCCACCTGGCGGAGCAGCGCGAGCAGCGATTGGCTGAGAGCTGCGAGGGGGCGGGGCCAAGGGGGAGGAAACCGGAAGTGACAAAAAATTCCAAAAAAAATTCCGAAAAAAATCCCAAAATTTCCACCCCAAAATTCCCCTCAAAAATCCCAAATTTTCCCCAAATTCCCCCAAATCCACCCAAAAATCCGAAACCTCCACCCCAAAATTCCAAATTTTTTTTCCCCAAATTTCCTCAGAATTCTCACAAATTCCCTAAAAAAAATCCCAAAATCCCCCCAAAAATCCCGAATTCACCTAAAAAAATTCCCAGATTTCTACAAAATTCCAAATTCCTCTAAAAAATCCCAAATTTTCACCAAAAATCCCCCCAAAATTCCCAGAAATCCCCCAAAATTCCCCAAATTTTTCTGAAATTTTCCCAAAATTCCCAAATTTCCTCAAAATTCCTCTAAAAATCCCAAATTTTCACTAAAAATCCCCAATAATCCCCAAAATTTCCCCAATTTTTTCCCAAATTTCCCCAAAATTCCTCAAATTTTCCCAAATTCCCGAATTTACCCCAAAACCCCCCAAATTCCACTAAAAATTCTCAAATTTTCAGCAAAAAACGCCCAAAAAATCTCCAAAAAAATCCCAATTTTTTTCCCAAATTCCCAATTTTTTTCCCAAATTCTCCCAAAATTCCCAAATTTTCCCCAAATTTCCCCAAAATTCCCAAATTTCTCACCGGGTTTGAGTCGTTCCAGGGCCAGGGCGGGGCCGAGAGCTCGGACGAGCTCAGGGAGGTGGGGGAGGAGCTGGGGAGAGAAATTTGGGAGAAAATTGCAAAAATTTTGGGGAAAAAATGGGAATTTTTGGGAAAATTGGGAATTTTGGGGAAATTGGGAATTCTTGGGGAATTTTAAAAAAAATTTGGGGCGATTTTTTTTGGATTTTTTAGGAATTTTTGGGGATTTTTTGAAGAATTTTTTGGAGGTTTTTGGGAACTTTTGGGAAAATTTTTTGGGGAAATTTTGGGAACTTTTGTGGAATTTTAAAGAATTTTTGGAAAATTTTTTTGAATTTTCGGGGAAATTTTTTCAGGAATTTTTTCAGGATTTTTGGGGAATTTTGGGGGAATTTTTTAAGGAATTTCAGTGAATTTTTAGAATTTCTCAGGGGAATTTTTTGGGGAATTTTTTTGGGGAATTTTCATGGAAATTTTGGGGAGGTTTTTAGTTTTTTGGGAATTTTTTGGGATTTTTGGGAAATTTTTGGGAATTTTTTTGGGGCATTATTTGGGAATTTTTTTTGGGCATTATTTGGGAATTTTTGGGGAACATTTTGAGTAATTCTGGAGATGTTTGGGAAAATTTGGGGAATTTTCAGGGAATTTTGAGAAAATTTGGGGAAATTTTTTTGGTATTTTTGGGGAATTTTTGGGGAATTTTTGGGGAATTTTTGGGGAATTTTGGGATTTTTTTGAGGAATTTTTGGTGAATTTTTGGTGATTTTTCGAAGAATTTTTAGAAAATTTTTGGGATCTTTTGAGGAATTTTGGGGCAAATTTTTTGGGAATTTTTGGGGAATTTTTTGGGAACTTTTACGGAATTTTGGGGATTTTTTTTGTTATTTCTTGGGAAATTTTTGTTAAAATTTTGGGGAATTTAAAAAAAAATTTGTGGGATTTTTTGGGATGTCATAGAATTTTGGGGGGATTTTTTTGGGGAATTTTTGGAGACTTTTTTTGGAAACTTTTGTGAAATTTTGGGGAATTTTTGAAGAATTTTTGGGGAATTTGGAGAAATTTTTTAGGAATTTCTGGGGAATTTTTTGGGAATTTTCTGGGAACTTTTGGAAATTTTTTGGGAATTTTGGGGGAGTTTTTCATTTTTTTTTCAGAATTTTGGGGGAATTTTTTGAGGAATTTTGGGGGGATTTTTGGCAGAGTTTTGGGGAATTTTGCTGAATTTTGGGGGAATTTTTGGGGCTTTTTGGGGAATTTTTGGGGGAATTTTTTGGGGCTTTTTGGGGAATTTTGGGGGGAATTTTTTGGGGATTTTTGGGGAATTTTTGGGGGAATTTTTTTGGGATTTTTGGGGAATTTTTGGGGGATTTTTGGGAATTTTGAGGAATTCTTTTGGGAATTTTTGGGGAATTTTTGGGGAATTTTGGGGCTCACCCTCTCCGGCCCCGCCCCCAGCAGGAATTCCAGCACCGGCTCCTCCTCCTCCAGATCCTCCGTGATCGGCAGCGCCCCCAGCAGGAGAGGGAGAACCTGACCAGTATAGACCAGTATGGACCAGTATGGACCAGTATGGACCAGTATGGACCAGTTTAAACCAGTATGGACCAGTATAAACCAGTATAGACCAGTATAGACCAGTATGGACCAGTATGGACCAGTATGGACCAGTATGGACCAGTATAAACCAGTATAAACCAGTATAGACCAGTATGGACCAGTATGGACCAGTACAAACCAGTACAAACCAGTAACCCCAAACCCCTCCCAGTTCATCCCAATAACCCCAAACCCCCTTCCCAGTATAAACCAGTAACCCCAAACCCCGTCCCAGTATAAACCAGTAACCCCAAACCCCTCCCAGTTATTCCCAGTAACCCCAAACCCCCTCCCAGTACAAACCAGTAACCCCTAACCCCCTCCCAGTCCATCCCAGTAACCCCAAACCCCCTCCCAGTCCAAACCAGTACAAACCAGTTGATGCCGTACCTGCTCGCGGGGCGCCCCCTGCTGGCGCACCAGTGCTCCCAGTACGTTGTCCCGGACCCTGCCGGGCCCCTCCCCCCCCTTCCGGAGGGCGTGGCAGCAAAGCTCCGCCCCCGGCCACGCCCCCCTGCCGCCAGTTAAGGAAAAAAGTGGGCGGGGCTAGACCTTGTATGGGAAAAGGGGCGGGGCTTGACCTTAAAATGGAAAAGGGGCGGGGCTTCACCTTATATGAGGGTGTGGGCGGGGTTTAAAGGTGGTGGGAGGGGCCTGTGCCCTTTTAAGGCAATTGGGGCGTGGTTTAAAGTCAGTGGGTGGGGCTTTAGGATGGTGGGTGGAGTCTAAAGGGATTAAACCAGGCTTCAATCCATTTATGGAAATGTGGGCGGGGTCTAAGTGGATTTAAGGGCGTTAACCCCCCTGAACCACGCCCCCTGCGCGCTGATTGGTGGATACTGCTGGTGGGCGTGTCCCGCGGCCTCCCCGATGCGACCAATGGCGTAGAAGACGTTGGCCCTGACCTCGGGGTCGGCGTCGCCGGCGGCCAATCGGAAAGCCGGGCCTAAATCGGGCAGGAAGGGCGTGGCCTCCTGGCCGAGGGCGTGGCCGAGCTGACCAATCACGGCCGCCGCCCAGGACCTCGTCCCGGGGTGGGCGGGGTCAGCCAGGGTGGCCAATAGGGAGGGGAGGATGCGGCGGAAGAGGTGGGGCGGGAAAACCACGCCTCTTCCGGGTTTGGTGACGTCACTTCCGGTTCCGGCGACGCCGTTAGCTGTTTGAGGAAAGGCACTTCCTGTTTCGGCAACACCACTCCCTGTTTTGGGGAAGGCACTTCCTGTTTGGGAGGTTTCACTTCCTGTTCCGGTTATGCCGCTTCCGGGGCTGGTGATGTCACTTCCTGTTTGGGCCATGGCCGCGCCCACTTCCAGCAGCCAATCAGAGGCGGTTTCACGGAGCTCGGCTCGCTGGGAGGTCTGGGGAGGAATTTGGGGTCACTGGGAGGGACTGGGATGGACTGGGACAAACTGGGATGGACTGGGAGGGAACTGGGATGGACTGGGAGGGACTGGGATGGACTGGGAGGGAACTGGGAGGGACTGGGAGGGAACTGGGAGGGAACTGGGATGGANACTGGGATGGACTGGGAGGGACTGGGATGGACTGGGAGGGAACTGGGAGGGACTGGGAGGGAACTGGGAGGGAACTGGGATGGACTGGGAGGGACTGGGAGGGAACTGGGAGGGACTGGGAGGGCATTTGGGGTTACTGGGATGAACTGGTTTGGTGTTTGGGGTCACTGGGAGTTACTGGGAGGGGACTGGACCATACTGGGATGAACTGGGATGGGACTGGGAGAGAATTTGGGGTTACTGGGATGAACTGGGAAGGAACTGGGATGGAACTGGGCCATACTGGGATGAACTGGGAGTGGGTCTGGGGTTACTGGGATGAACTGGGAGGGGACTGGGCCATACTGGGAGCAACTGGGAAGGGGATTTGGGGTTACTGGGATCAAACTGGGATGAACTGGGAGTGGGATTTGGGGATACTGGGATGGACTGGGATGAACTGGGATGAACTGGTCACCCCTCCCCCACCTCGTCGCCGTCCTCGTCGTCCCCGCGGGATCTCACACAGGCGACCTGTGGGGGGGAGGGGCGGGTTAGGCCACGCCCACCCCATTAAACCCAGCTCAAGCCACGCCCACTCCCCGATTAAGCCACGCCCGCCCCATTAAAAAACAATTAAGCCACGCCCACACCTTAAGCCACGCCCACTATCCCTTCAGGCCGCCATTTTAAGTCTCATTAAGACACTCCCACCCGCCATTTTGAGTCCGATTAAACCCCGCCCCCTCTGACCTTGCCGGCGATGACGTCACACAGGGCTCCCCCAATGGGCTCCAGCCATTCCTTGGGGGCGTGGCCTGGGGGCTGCAGGATCCGCCCGACCCCGCCCAGAGCGCCCAAAGCTCCGCCCACTTCCGGCTCCGCCACCAGCCCGGCCAGGAGGGCCCGGAACGCCCCCTGCTGGACGGGGGTGGGGGCTGCAAAGGAAACCAGTATAGACCAGTATAAACCAGTATGGGCCAGTATGGACCAGTATAGACCAGTATGGACCAGTATAAACCAGTATGGACCAGTACAAACTGGTTGAAATCTCTCCCAGTACATCCCAGTATAAGCCAGTGGTCTCCCAGTCCCCTCCCAGTCTCCTCCCAGTCCATCCCAGTATAAACCAGTTACCTCCCAGTCCCTCCCAGTCTCCTCCCAGTCCATCCCAGTATAAACCAGTCTCACCAGTTTGGGTTTCCCGTCCCCTCCCGCAGCAGCAGAGACTCCCCAGGGCCTCGTAGGCAGCGCCTCGGACCTGGGACTGGGGGAACTGGGACAGACTGGGAGTTACTGGTTTATACTGGGAGGGACTGGGTGGGGACTGGGAGCTACTGGTTTATACTGGGATAAACTGGGAGGGCTCACCTCGGTCAGATCCAAGACGGCCGACAGGGAAGGCTCCAGGTATGGCAGGAAGGCAGTGCTGGGGACCAGTATAGACCAGTATAAACCAGTATGGACCAGTATAGACCAGTATAAACCAGTATAAACCAGTATGGACCAGTATAGACCAGTATAAACCAGTATGGACCAGAATGGACCAGTATAAACCAGTATGAACCAGAATGGACCAGTATGGACCAATAAAAACCAGTATAGACCAGTATAAACCAGTACAAACCAGTAACCCCAAACCCCCTCCCAGTATAAACCAGTAACCCCAAACCGCCTCCCAGTTCATCCCAGTGACCCCAAACCCCCTCCCAGTGCCCTCCCAGTCCAAACCAGTATAAACCAGTTACCCGCAGTTCACAGCCACCTCCCCCAGTGCTCCCAGCGCCGCCTCGGCCAATCCGGGGAAAGCTCCGCCCACTTCCGCCCTGCAAGGGAGGGGGGCGTGGCCATGACCATAGATGGGCATGGGTCACACCCCAAAGCCACGCCCACCCGGCCCAGGCCACGCCCACTCACTGCTCCCAATCGGTGACGTCATCCTCCATGGCGGTGACGTCATCCTCGTCCTCGTCGTCGTGAAGATTCAGCAGCCAATCAGGGGCGTCCGTGGGGGGCTGGGGGGGAACAGGGACCAGTTTAGACCAGTATAGACCAGTATAGACTAGTTTGAACCAGTATAGACCAGTTTGGACCAGTATGGACCAGTATAAACCAGTATAGACCAGTATAAATTCCTCCCAGTATAAACCAGTATAAACCAGTAACCCGCAAATCTCCACTAAATCCTTCCCAGTCCATCCCAGTTCATCCCAGTAACCCCCAAACCCCATCCCAGTCCAAACCAGTAACCCCAGACCCATTTCCAGCCCAAACCAGTACAAACCAGTATAAACCAGTATAAACCAGTATAAACCAGTAACCCCCAAATCCCCTCCCAGTCCCTGCTAGTTCCTCCCAGTCCATCCCAGT